TTTGGTAATTCACTCCATGAAAATGAGGCAATGAATTGGAATATTCAGTTCTAATGAACTTAAAAGGGCACTGTAAGTTTTTGGTTTGTTCTTTTCAAATGACATTTTTCTGAGAATCTTTCTAGAACCATTACAAATTCACGTAAGGTTGTTAACATTGGATTCTATAGAACCCTTTCCAATATAATTTGGAGATCTTGTTTCCCTCACAGAACTAAGGCGTTTCTATTGCTGGTATTTCAAAGGGAGATTAATACTTCTGAATTGGAAAAAAAAAAAAAAAATACTTATTTCTTCCTTCTACATATGGTAATGCAGTACAACAGGATCTCTATAGTTGAGAAGGATCTTCCGGAGTTCTCTCTTTTCAATTATAAACAGAGCATTTGAAAAACAAGGCAGCAAAGCCGAAAATTAGGTGCACCATGTAATCTCCACAATAAATGTTACCTCAAATTCAGGAGTTAAATTGTGTGACTCAGCAATACCCTTCAATAGTCTCAGCCACGGTCCTATGCGTGGATTAGGCGGTGCAGCCCATCCTGGCTTCCCACCCGTTGGTGGCACATCCCCTTCTTGTAAATGGGGCACACCTAGAGATCATTCAAACCAAGTTACTAAAATTAAGAATGACAAGCAAAAAATCCACTTATCAAGAGGGTGGTTATACCAATGGGATGGATTGTTAGTGAGGGACGATTAGAAACAGCAGTGTGCCTACTGAGAAATATAACCTCGTCAACGGCCTCACCAGTCACCTCCTCCCATCGCCTATCCAGGTGGTCCTCTCTTACAATGCTGTTATCATGCTTCAATAGTCTCACTTCATCATTCACAAAACTTGGAATTCCCTGAACCAACCCAATAAAAGGCAGGAGGACATTAGCATATTAGTCCATGCTTGGCAAAGCTTAAAAGTAAATCAAACTTACCTTTGAACAATTTTTTGTTTCCAAACATGATTGAACAAGTTATTTTTTCCTTATTTATAGGTAAATTACTCGTGTTTAACCATTACCAACAAAAAACAAAAAAAAAATTAACAATGTCAAAATAAACTAGGGTAAATATTTCGAGTTTAGCAAAACATGTACAATTTATTTCGAATCTCTTCACCAAATTTCAAATTTAGCAGTATCTGAATCCGTTTTGCACGGCAAATTGGATATGGAACTCGTTTAAGATTTACAGGTTCTTAACCTCTTATAAATTATCTGACTAATTTACTATAATTGATGCCAAGAAGCCATTTTTGAGAAGGAATTTTGTTGTAACCTGGAGGAGGGGCCCGGGGTGCCAGCCGGGCATGGAGAGAAGAGCAGAGGTTGGGCCAATTGAAGCCGGGTCTACGGTGGTGGCTACAATTAACGTCACCATGTCTTCCTCTTTTCTCCTTTGCCTTCTTGTGATTGGACGGAAGGAAAGAAGGAATCAATTTTCTTTTTAATTGAATGATATGATAAATTTAGGCAAATTTGGATTAAAAACTTAAAAGTCCTAGCTTGTTTGAGGCCCATTCTTTAATTAAAAAAAAAAACACAAAGAGGTTATTCTTCAACAATATTTTAAGATCATTTCAATTACACATTTTTCAATAAAAAAATATTACACTCAAATCTAGTTTTTTATTTTTATTTTTAACCACACGTATTCCATCAGTACACTATTCAAAAGTGTATTTTCCTCCAAAATGGGACTCAAACAAGGGCCTATTCTTTTTCAAAAACAAAGATGGTGGCTAATAGGTATGCCAATGGGTGACGGCCTCCTGTAGCAGGGCAACCGGGCGGGTGAGAGTCATTCTCGTCTTTCGCTTAGTCAAGTACTTTCGTGTCCTTTTCCAATCCCAATACCAAGTGGGTTTGAGATGGGGGCAGGACAAGGTCCCTTTTATTTGTTTTATTTATTTTTTTTAGTATCTTTAATTGGTGAAAATTATTACTTTTTATTTTTTTTGCCCTTTTCCAATGTGTAGAATAACCAATGTTTCCTCTAAATAGAATAATAATTCTTTTCTTTTTGTGTGATGGAAATCTTATATTTTAGAATGAACTTTAAATGGGGAGAATAAAGGTGCGTGGAACCATGTTCCTCGTACTTGTGCCATTTAGTCCCGTCCCTATCTTGTGTACCAAATTAGACAAGGAATTTCATCCAGTTCGAGGCTATATCTCGTGGATATCATATATAACAGAATTTTTGCTATCCCTATAGCCCATACAAGGTCGAATTTTCAGTCTCATTCTCAATTTACTGGTCTTTACTTTTATTTTTAAATACAATTAAAATAAAAAACTATAAAGTAAAGAAGAAATCAAGATAACCCCACATAAAGGAAAACCAGGTACAGTTATTCTTGCACGCGTTCTCACAATTTTGCACCAACGTTTCCATGTATTATGGCAAATTTTGAATAAATTATGTTCGCGCTTGTTATAGAAGAGCACCTCAAGTCGACATCTTTTGATGTTTTTTAATAAGATGATGTACTTCAAAAAATTTATTTAACACAATCCCAAAAACATCTTGTTGGTCTAAAAAATAACAAATAGATTTCAAAATCCTCGCTAAATAGGCCCTCAAATATGCTACAGAAACCAATCCAACTCCAAATTACAATATCAAACACACCAATAATCATTATATTTTTTGCAATGTAATCGGACCCTGAACTTTTTTAACGTCTCTGACTAGCAATTTAATTTACCAAACCCTTACACTTTGTTTCATTCTGTCATCGACCATTAAAAATTAAACAGAATGAATGATGTGGATAACAAGTACTTACGTGTGGCACTCATTTTTTGCCATGTTACAAATGATCAATGTGATAGTAATAAATGTTGTGAAAGGTTCAATGGCCATTGCAAAACAAAGTGAAATATACAATAATCACTGAGATATTTAACCTAATACTTTTTAATCTCATATCTTAGGTGTTTAAATTACTTTCAATTAAAGAAGATACGAATAACGTATTAATGAAAAATAACGAAACTTAAAAATCTTGACGAATTTGATTAACAATTCAATTATTGAAATGTATTGTGATCATCAAGAATATTGACTAGAGTTGAGAGGATCGTAACGTTGATATGAACTATTAGGGGTGTCAACAAGTCGAGTCAGTTCGCGAGCCAAAACTCTCGATCTTTTAAGATGGACTTTTTTTTGGACTGAGCCGAGCAAAAGCTTGGCCAAAAAATTAAGGCTCGATCAGAGCTTTCGACTCAATTTTCTAAAAAAAAATTCTCCTCTTTGTTGCTTGTTTGGCAACCAAATCTGCTGCCAGTTGAGGCAGCTATAACAAGCAGCTTCATAGCTTCTAGTTAAGGCAGTTTAGCTACCAAATAGG